ACCTGCAAACTAGGTACACATGCATATATTGCTCTCCCATCTCTACAACTCAGAATTCAAAAATACTTTACATTCACAAATGCTTCACAAATGCTTAGTGCGCTCACCACTCTCCCGAATCCACTGCTTCAACTTCTCCGGATTCCTCGGTCGGAATCCCACCTTGAACGGCTTGGGTTCCGTTGTCAACGCCGTGGGGATGGCATTGCAGTGAATGGCATCCATGATCGGGCGGTCGTCGGGGTTCTTGGCCGGGTGCATGGTGAAGGCGGTGATCAAGCGAATGTAGGCGGTGTACAGCTCGCGGTTGGCCAGATGCGAGCCGGCGCACATGCGCGAGCCAGCCCCGTAGCCGTAGTGGGGAGTGCCCGTGCCCTCGCCCACCTCCAAATACCGCTCCGGCAGGAATTGCTCGGGCTTGTCGAAGTGCTCTTCGTCGTAGTCTGCGGCGTATGCGTTCTGGAGATGGGTTTAGGTAAGAATTTTTTATCTCGAACCGGAAACAAGGTCGGATACCAACATACCATGAAGAAGGTGGTTCCAGCGGGGATGGTCGCGCCGTTGTAGACAATATCCTTGGTGCTTTCGCGCGGCAGACAGATGGGGATCACGGTCCAGAACCGGAGGGTCTCTTTCACCAGGGCGGTCACGTAGGGGACCTTCTCTTCCACAAGGCACTTCTCCCAGGCGTCACCGTCCGGGTACACCTTCATGATCTCCTCGTAGGCCTTCTGCTGAACGCGCTGGCCGTCTTCCGAGGCGAGATAGGCGATGCCCATGATGACGTTACCGGGAACCGTGTCCAATCCGGCGGAGACCATAGTGAGACAGATGGACTTGACCTCCGCTGGTGACAGTCAGTAATTTCGTTCGACATGTTTTGTCTTTGGAAAGTCCATCGATCATGACTCACCCTCATTCAACTTCGCCTCGGGATCCTTGAGAATGTTCCCCGTGATGCACGGCTTATCCGTGCCCTTGGCAATCTGGTCCTTGAGAATATCCAACAGATATGTCAAATACTTATCGCGGCGCACGCGGAACGACTCGGCCTCGGTGTTCGCCTTGGGGAACAGACGCATGAGGGGGATGTAGTCCTGCCAATTGTTGCTGGTACTCCGAAAGTTGGAGACGCCGCGCTCGACGTCGCAGATCTCGTGCAGCAGCTCGTCGTCGACGTTGCCGCTGATACGGAAGCCGTAGTTCAGCGTCAGACTGGTGTTGAGCGCGAACCGCTGGAAATACGCGACCGGGTTGATGTCTTTGGTGCCGCTGTCGCTGTCCTGGAACAGCTCGCGGATGCTGGCGGTGGCCTCGAGGTCGATGATTGGCATGTACGACTGCACGGCTGGGCGGTTCAGCGCGGTGGCGGCCGCCTTGCGTCGGCGCTTGCAGGACTCGTCCCAGGGCGAGGTGCCGATCGTGAAGCCCTGGGAGCTGGACACGACGCTGTGGAAGGTGTGGAAGGTGGGACGCGAGATCAGGGCCGACTGGTCTTTGATCCACAGTTGGCGGACGGACTCGAAGCTGTTGGCAAAGACAATGCGCTGGAAGGAACAAGTATGCTCTGTCAGTTACCTAGTACATTTCGACTCTCTCGTCAGCCTTTTGTTCGCTGCGGGTCACATACCCGATTGCCCATCCGGACCTGGAAGACGGGGCCATATTTCTTCGCCCACTTCTTCGTCACAGTAGCATGCTGGTCGCCTAATTGCAACAGGTTGCCAAATATAGGCACCCCAGGGATTTCAGGTATCCCCTTGATCTTGGGAACGTCGGTGCGATTGAGATAGCGGATCAGAAAATATACCACCGCGACGGCGGCGAGTGCGAGGGTTTGGAAGGACATGGTGTGAGCGATGAAATTGGGAGTGGACTGGACTTTTTTTCTTGACGGTGGTGTCTGAAAGAAATCTGGAGCTTTATACACCTCACCTCCGCGGTTCTCCTCGGCTTATCATGGCTGGGTATGCAGCGGTCCTCCTGCAGCTAGACCTTGAAAATCGTAGTGGATTTGCGTCATGGGCCACCCGGCCAACAAAGAGGACTCGGGCCAACTGCATTCGTTAACTATCCATTGCTGCAGCAAATAGAAAGCCGGCTAGCGTAGTTAGTAAGGTGATTCCCCCGCACTTTCACCCTGGTTGAAATGAACAAATGCACGAGCGGGAATTGGCTGGGGCGGGAATTCGGAATGAAACACCGCGACCCCGCTCTCGACGGAAGCGGAACCGGGGCCGAGCCTGGAGATCGACACCTGCCCCAGAAACCATCCAGAAACCAGAAACTGCCCACTGCAGTGCCCGCTGACTCCTTCTGCCACTATCCGTCCTGCTGCTCCCGTCGGGCCGATACTGGCGCTTCCTTTAGGTCCGACATGGTAGACATAGACATGGTATAAACTCCGCTGATAAGACTGAGGACGCTCAATGGGCCTATACGGAATCATGCCAAGGGTTGTATAGTACTCCAATGTCTGCTAATCAGCATGAATTAAAATCATATTACCCTATTCGGCCGAACTCGATCATAGAATAATGACATCCATCAATTCCTTGTGCAACATCAAACATACTCATCATGCAACAGCCCCATCATAGTTAAAGCATTTCAACTCCCATCCAGAACTCTCGCTTCACAGCCACCAGGACGTCCCCTCGTGCTCAGCTCATCCCGAAACCCCAACACAGATATAGTATCCATACCACATATTAGTGCATCCCGTCCCCACGGCCGGATTCCAGGTCACAATGTTCTGCACAGTGATCCCCTCCTTTGTCGCAACAGTGGTGCACGTATCGCCCGACGCCACCAGGTAGAAGGTATTGCAGTTGGTCACCATGCCCGTCTGGATGGGGGTAGGAGTCGACACCGGAGCGGTCGTGGTGGTACTTGTGGTGGTGGTGGTGGTTGCCGTTGATCCCACCCCAACGCAGACATAGTAACCCAGCCACAGGGCGGTACACCCGCTGCCGACGCCGGAGTTCCACGAGTAAAAGTCGGTCAGGGAGATGCCGGCTGTCGTCGCGATACTGGCGCAGGTCTCACCACTCGCCACCAGATGGTACGCGTTGCAATTTGCGGCGATGCCTGGCTGAGTAGGGCTGGGGGCTGCGGCTGCGGCGGCGCTGTTGACTTTGGAGGCGGTGATGAGCGTGGTCGGTGCCGGAGATGCAGCAGGAGGAGCAATGGCTGCTACCAAGGGGGCAGCTAAGGTGAGAAAAGAAAGGTAGGAGAGATGCATGGCTGATGATTGAAAGGTTGTGGCTCAGATGCTTGATCTGTCGGGCTTGGTGCTTGTTCCTATCCACCTGTTGAAGGCAGAATACGCTTCCTTTTATATGCTGAAGCGCTGATTCCTGGTGAACTCAACCGCAGTTCACAAGGTCCCTCGGGCATCAACAGAAGAAGGGATTCTTGCAGTTGGCGCAGAAACCTGGACCGAGAACGATGAGCGTCTCCCCACATACAACAGCCGCAATTGATGCAGGTCTCATATTCCGGGGCTCATCTGATGAACTGAAGGATGTGGTGTCCAATAGCTAAAGGATGCTCGAGGTAGCTTCTGTCTTCATTGGCTGCCTGACTGAAACCCTGCCGGTAGGTGTACCTTCTCGTTGACCAGGATAGATTTCCTATGGCACACTCGGAAGGCAGTCGGGCTGTTGCAGGGACTGCGAATGGCGATGATGCCGGGTCTCGGCCACCGCTTCCCAAGCGAAGCTGACATCCTGCAAGACAGTACATGGATGCTTGCAGTTAGAGTGACACGCCGATACTTCCAGGCGTCCCGTTGATCGGATTCCGCGGATCGCTCGTATTGTGTCTCACAAGGGTCTAATTGTGATTGAATAGATCCAATTTTCGTATGGGATTGTTCTTTTCTGGTTCCTGCATCAGGCGCCTGATTCACCCGTTACATAAGTATTGCGGCGGAAAAATTTTCGAGATCGTCAGCATGAGTTTGCAAACCATGGTTGAGAATACTTCATTACTATCAACTGCTCGATAAGCTCTGGGATAATTCAAGACTCGGCAAGGTGCATGGACGTGACATCAAGGCAGAGGATCAAGAATAAGTCACACGTGCCGTTCGTCAGGATGACTGCCTAGGCCCAGAGCCTTGTGTGACTCTTGCTCCGCGGATGATCGGCATATGAGCTCATATTGTCTGACATGCAGGTCTTCCTCCCGGGGATGAGGTGAGACAGTCAAAGCAATCAGTCGTCGTCATAAGCACGCCCCAAGTCTCTTTTCAAGCCCTCGTTGTTTATTTCACATGTCGCAATATGCGTTCAAAATTCGTTCTCTGTGAAAGGAAAAGCTTAGTCTACGGCAGGCCTATAGCGAGGGGAAGTCACGCCAAAGGAAGCGATGTACCTGACGAAGAGATCATTGCTCTCCGCTTGTCATGCCATCAGATACAAGGTCAGTGCGGGGGCGGGGGGCATGCATCTAAGCTACTGCATGTCTCTCAAGCAGATCACAAGTAGGTAGTATCGACCAAGTGCAGCGTGCAGCGTTGCATTCCGGTACATCATGCAATGGGATGTAATCAAAGACTCGCTCGCCTTGTCCATGAGTAATCGTCGCTGCGGCGCCCCACCACCTGCGGTGGAGGGCTTAGGAGGTGGTGGGGCGCCGCAGCGACGAGTATGTCCCAAATAGTTGCATGTTGCATGTAGAAAAAAAAACAGATGATGGACCATTGAGTTACAGCAAGAGAAGGCAGCGCCAAGAATGAGCTGGAATAGAAGACGAAAGTTGAGAAGTGAAGAAAGAGCGGGGAATGCACAAGACATTTGAACAGGGGTTTGGTGTTTAGTCTCAGTCAGGCTCCCCATGCCTCAGGCCACACCGCCCGCAGACCTATCTCAATTCTCCCAACCAACGAGTGAGCTAAAAAAACAATCACACTGCAGCAGCTAGACAACCTCCAGCTAACGATGCTCAAGTGAGATTTCTATATTGTAGTATCTTGTGTGATTCCAAGTCGAGAACGAAGTTCTATAAATGGGATTGATTAAGATTTACGTCAAGATATTATAAACAAGTTGGTAAAAGTATATTCGAATCGAAGATTTCAACATGCTTCTACACCATAGAAGCTTTCCTCGACGCACTGAATTGGCTGCTCCGACGTCTAGTGGTGTGTCTTTGCCTGTCCGCGGCAAGGGTCTGTGCGAACTTGCTCCTCGCACGTATCTCAGGGCCTTTCCAGTAAAAGATGTAAATCGGAATGGTCACCAAGACAGCCAAGCAGCCAAGAATAGTGCTAGCCCATTGGAGATGAAAGCGTCCGCCAATGTTGGTATACATCGGGGTTGCGTACATCGCGGATAGCCCGGCGAGAAGATCTCGTGCGAACCCATTCCCGCCCGTAGCGGACGCGGAATACTCGCCATAAGCCGCCACCATGTAGTCTATCGTAGCCATGTAGATACCATAGTTTGCGATGGCAATCAGGAATACGAAGACCAGAGGCACCATCCAGTGGGTATACTCCGGGCCCATGGACGTCCAGGCAAAGCCAAAGAGTCCGATCGTCTCCAGGGGTGCGATGAAAAGCAAAAGTAAGAGCCGGCGCTCAGCCACCCGGGCCGCATCACCCTCTCGTCGTCGGATCAAGCGCTGGCGGTAGATATCGGGCAGAAAAATGGCATATGCAACCAGATAGCCAACAAAAATAGCGACAAAGCACAATCCAACATGCAGTGGATTAAAGCCCCATTGTTTGAAGACCAAGGAGAACGATTCAATGCAGGTAAAGATTAGCGCATCGGAGAAGCCAGAAAGAAGAGATAGAAAAAGCACAATAGGCTCGCGCAGGAACATCTCGAATGGGCGACGCCAAATGCGAAGGATTTCTTTCACATCAAACCGGGAAGGCTTGAGCTCACTCGGGCCATAGACATTTGGATCCTCACCAGATTTGCGCCGACGCTTCGCCTCTCGATCCAGCAAGATGGTAGATCTTGTTTCGGTGACGAAAAAGAAATGGAGTATTTGGGTGACTCCACCGAAAATAAGCTGGATCCAGAAATTCCATCGCCAGTTCAACCACTGCTCCATCATTCCTCCGAATATAGGCCCAATAGTCGTCCCACCGACAGAGCTCAAGACCACATATGCGACAGCAAAGCCCTGGTCATCTGGCTCCCACATGTCAGCGGTCATACCCAGGGTGACCGAGCCTCCTGCGGAGCTAATGCCACCAAGGCCGCGACCAACCACCATGGTTCCAAAGTTAGGTGCCAAGGCACAGGGAATTTGCCAGACATTCACGAGAAGAAGGCTCAGTTGCATAATAGGCCATCGACCGAATTCCTCGCTCCATGGCGCCCATAGCTCGCAGCCAAAGGCGTAGGTTACCAGGAAGATCATCTGACCGACTCGAGCCGCTTGCTGGCTGATATGGAAATGTTCCGACAACTGCACCACGGCATTGGAATATGTACTGCTGTTGAAGTTCATGGACATTTGAACAACGAAGATAACTGTCAAAATCCCCCATTTCTTGTACCATGGGAAGCAGAAGCCAAGTTTCTCGTATGCATCCTCTTCAGTCAATTCGCGCTTCCCATCGCCACGGAATTTGCCTCGCACTTCAGTATCGGTATCCGAAGATGCTGCATGCTCATCATGGATGTTAGTGGGCCTTCGGGCAGGGCTCAAGTCGCAGTCTCCAAGACCAGAATCCTTCTTTTCCGACTTCTCAGAGTCAAATAGGGGGGAGCGCGGCGACTGGTTCCTCGAGGTCATGGCAACGGTGCACAGTCAGTGTAGAATATTCTTCAGAGTCGACCAGGCTTCTTCCGACTGAATTGTAAGGGTAGATGGTAGGCCTCAGTAGACGTGTAGTGTATAGATGACATTGGGTGCCCCATTTATCAGACGAAATGAAGACGAACGGTATCATGATGGAACGAAGTCGAGGTGCTGTATCACGAAGAGGAACCGATGTGGTCTTATAAGCAGTTTTTTTCATTCCACTCATGCTGATGACCTAAAGTGGAAGTAGATGTGAGATGGATTCGCCAGCGGAGGTGCGACGTCATAAAACCCGGGGGTCAAAAACGGACCCTGTACCAACAGCAGTGGAGATGATGCACGCCGCCCGCTTTCCGATCCATCGATCTCCCCGGTCCCGCATCTTGGATAGTCAATCAAGAACGGTTGAGCTGTCCCAGTTCTTGCCTCAAGCTTAGTAAGATCTCTGGCTGTTTCCCACGAGCTTGCGGGTGGCGCCGACGAGATATGGCCTCTTTGTAGGACATAGCGCATGTGATTGATACAACTTGCTAACTCTGTCTGCATGTTGCGTTAAAAGGTGCACGAACCACATCAAGTCATGAAAAAATGAGTCTGTGAAGATTGACCCGGCTTCGGTTGCTGATAAGGCGCAAGAAGTTGTAGATCCAATCAGCGATCTCGGACTTGGAACCTTGAATTGAACTGGAACATTTGCCGGAATTCCTAATGCGGAAGCCCGGAGTGCGACCGTGGACCGTGGACCGTCCAGGTCATTGCAGCGCCTATTGTTTGGTCGGAATCTTTAACAATACTCTTGGCATGACGCAAAGTCAAGGGCCAGTTTCAAGATCATGAAAGTATCCGGAGTGCATATGAAAGGTCCTCATCCCCCAGATCGGCTGTTTTCTGGAAAATCGTAGATTCAGAGGCATGAATCGGCAGACCATTTCACCAAATCGGACAAGTTTCGTGGCTGTGAGCTGACGGGGTGACATCAAGTCAGTGAATCCGCGCCCTGTTCTAGAAGGATTCTTCATCATGAGTGCATGAGGCCATCTGGAAATCAAATGTCATCGTTCCCTGGTCATGGGGTTTAGAGCCGGTCGCCATTCAGGGAGCCGGTATTCATGAATTCGCAGTTGCCGCTCTCGCAGGTGCCGGGGAATTCCTGGGGTCCTGAGTAAGATTTCTGAACGCTTCAAATTGTAGATCAAGAGGAGCTGTACTTATTCAGCAGCATTCTGTGTAGGCTTCTTTGGTCTTGTTGACGTGGCGCATATCACAGACTTTGATGCGGTGACGAGGTCCGGTTGGGTTTGCTATGCTCTTGCCTCATCGGTCAGCATGTCAAGATGGAAGGTCACCTGACACTCCAATGAAGTAAACATGAAGCAAGCAATTCCCTCGGCTTAATTCTTCGGTGAACCATTTTCGACACGTCTTGATACATGAATCACTTCGCTAAGCAAGAATGTCTTTCTGCCCTCTACATGTTCTGGCATGGTGTAGTGTTTGTTTATACTTTCGACACCAGAATTTGATGTATAAATTCTACTAAACAACAAGTGCACTATTTCCTCCCCTCGCCACATGATGAGGATTAAAGCATTAACTTCTTGGCCTTCTGATTACGTGGAACCTCAATGCTCGCCTCCAACATGTTTCCCGATATCTGATGGATGCGCATATCCTGGATGGCCCATTCCATGAACGGCGGACGAGCGCGCCAAGACCCTAGTCCGATTTCGGGGGTAGCTTGCGAGATCCCCTACCAGTTTCGGTGGAGAAAGCCGATACCGGGTGGAGTAGCAGGCGTTTGCTGTGGACCCGAAACTGTCTGCCGACTGTGACCCCTCTTGGTAATGGCCGCCGTCGGGTCTGGCTCGCCCCCGAGTTTTCCATCTCAACCTCACCATCACCTGTTTCCTGACCGAATTGACAATTACTGCAATCGCAATCATTCTCACCTGTGAGCCTTCGACCTTGTCGGATCTATTCACATTTGCCTAACGTCCTATACTTCCACGCACTGCCTGTCCTGGCACATGCGTCCATGGTGTTTCCTGGGAGACTGAGTACTGGCTGCTATGTATGCCGTAAGCGAAAGGTCAAGGTATGTTGGTCACTTTTAGAAGTTGGATGTCTGTGTGGTCTTAATAATTCTCTTCTGTAGTGCGATGGGGAGAGACCGGTTTGCCGTCGTTGCGTGACACATAACAGGCAATGCACAGGCTATCCCGATGCCTTCGCATTTCGAACCTATAAGCCCGGCTCAACACACAAGACCTCGACAGATGATGCGAAGGTTCCTGCTGATTCCGGGGACTTAGACCCTGAGGGTTCGGAGCTATCAGTATGCTCCACCAACCTAATCTCCGAAGGGTTGGGTCCTTTGGTACCCACCCTTGCTCCTTGCTGGGAGTCCCAGTCCCTCGGGTACTTCTATGATCAGTATGTCCTTCACGCCCAAAGGTCTCCTTGTGAGGGTCACCTTGCATTTCTTCCGGACTTATTCCGTGAGAAAGGTGATGACCCTTGCTTGAAGCATGCCGTGCTTAGCGTGTCCTATCTTTCCTTGCACAATGTCTCCAGACGTGGAGAGCTGCATGCCAATGCTCGACGGCACTATGGACTGGCTTTAAACTCACTGAGCACTGCACTCAGCATTGAAAGGGCTTATTTGAAGGATGAAGTATTCGCAGCGGCACTTTTCTTGAGTATGTTTCTTGTAAGTGAACCAGGTCAGTCCTCCCACGAGAAAGACTTCGCTAACCTAATACAGGACATAAGCGGTGATCACAGCGACGTCGCAAACCCTCACATCCCAGGAATCTACTCCCTCATGCAGCTGCGAGGGAGGCCACCTCGGAGTAGCAAATATGGCCGAGTCCTCTTTGGCTGGGCTTTCACTCAGACCGTAGGTCAACTCACCCAGCCCGACCAAAATCACAAGGTTAACAGGCCAGCAGCAAATACAAGCCATAGCCAACAATCAATACCAGTATGCCTCTCTACCCTCGTCTATCAATATGATCTACGAGCCGGACTTCATTTACCGTTCGGGAATCATCACGGGAAAGATATCCGAGTTCTGTAACTCTGTCCAACGAACCCGAGAAACCTTGGGTCACAGCTCGAAACCCGCCAAATCACTCCGCTCAATTCTGTGGCGCGCCCGCTGCATCCTCGACGAGATCGACACCTGGAACGAACGGATTCCCGGCCACTGGAAACGCCAATACCTCGACACTACTCTCGAGAACAGTCCTCCCGAGAAGCCACAAACTCCTCGCGACCCCTGGACGACCTGCTTCCTCGCCGTCGTACAAGCCACCCAAATCGTCTTCTACCTCCAAGTAATAGCATGCTGCGACGCGCTCGACGATCTGGAAGACACAACAACGCCTGAAGCTTCACCACACCCTCCCCGACACGACCCGTACGGTAGCGACGACGACTCATCCGATGAAGACCCACATAGTCCCACATCGCTCTACGAAATCGACTTCGAAGATCGAATTGAGGACCTGACGGATCTGATCTGTTTGACCGTAACTACAATCCTTGGCCAAATCAACGAAGCCACAGGCGCGTTCCAACTCCACCCGCATAGCAAGCTGGGTAATAGCTCGACATTACTATGGCCAATGTGGCTGGTGGCCAACTCGCCCTTCTCCACAGCAGAGCAGGTCTCTCTGTGTCGAAAGGGACTGAAGTGCATCGGGTCGACCATGGGGTATCGCCTCGCGTCCGTGCTAAGTGGGAATGCATGCCCACTTTCGCCATTCGCGATGCCCCCACAGAGCGCGACCTCGCATTGTTTACCGAGCCAGTGAGCCCACCCGCTGGTTATCCGAGACTCTCGCCATTATGTATAGACACTAATTTATGACGCGCTACGAGCCATGAAACATGAACACTTTCTCTACTGCAATGAATCATCCGAGAGGTTTCAACACTTCGCCAACCATTCACAAAATTATCAGCAAATCAATACCCTCCCACCAATGCCCCAACAATAGCCCTAAGCAAATTACCAATGAAATCACGGCGTAGTATGTAAATACTTGTCTCCGGGGGCCAACTTCCCCTCGGTCGGGAAACCCCGAGCGGGTAAGTTGAACCCGGTAAATAAAAAAGACCAAACCCGCCGAAGGTTGAACCCATGCTCATAAACCCTCCGAGTCCGCCCCCGGACGGTTAGGGGTTCAACCGGTGTGAGCTAAAACCTCCGGGCGCCGAAATTCCCCAGAAAGGTTGAACCTTTGCGCCGATGCCCGCGCCGATCTTTTTGTAGTATTGTGGAAAAAACGATGGGTACAGTACATAATAGGCTGTATACTCCAGAGTTGACGCTCTCGTTGTTTATGTGGTAGTCGCTTCTGGGCGCGCTAACAATCCTCCGTAGAGGCTTTCATTCTGCCGGAGGTAACAGGATTTTGCGCATAATAAAGCTGGATGGCACAGGTAAATGCTGATTGCGTTCTTCCATTAGCTAATTAGGGATCCCCTGCTCGGCTCACAACACCAGAATATCTATCTAAATTGAAGTGGGTGCAAGGTGTACTGTGCAGTTAAAGCTAAGAATGTGTTGTTCTCGGAGAAGGCAATGAGCCTCAAGACGAAACGGATCTGAACATTGCATCATTGCTGGTCTTTCGAAACAGGCAAGCAAAAAGCAAAGAAAAGAAAATGAAAGAAGGAAAGAAGGAAGTAACAAGTATTGCAGAGACAGCCGTCTAAATGCCGATTCTGGGAAACACGGTGTAGTTAACGACGACGGATCGGTAGTGCCGCTCTCAGATCCTGCGGTAGTCGTTCGTCTTGCTGTAGTACCCACTCTCCTTCCAACAGTTGATCCATCTCTCGCTCATATGCTCTCTGGTATAAAAGACGACCGTTTCGATGGGTCAGATCTTGATAGGAAAGTCCATTACTACTCTCATGCTCCAAGATCATTTCGCCCCAGCCCTGGGGCTGAAGCGTGAAATTGTCGTAAGTCGAGAGAACAGAACCGCCCACATGTCGTTGCCATTTATATTCCTGGTGGACGCCACCCGAACCCAGATTTAAATACCTGGTAATAACGAAAGCATCACCGTCGTTGCCGCAAGAGACCAGGCGT